GAAGGAAACACCCACACAGGGTTACTTACAGTCTCTGTGGCAGGATAACGCATGTATTATTACGCCAACGCTAAAGCTGTGATAAACATAGACTTACTTTTCCAAGGCCATGCGTACCGGAGGTAGCCCCCCACAGCTGTGCTTGTACACCGTCTCCAGGATCTGGCAGCCGTGGATCTAATTCAGCAGACACACGAGGTATTTACAACACGCCAGGCCCTGATGCATTACAGAGCATCTCACTGTACGGTGACCAAGCGCTCATCTGAAGGTCCATTTTCATGACGATAACAACACGTTTATCTATTCTATTATGGACCATACCATAGGAAACATGCTGGTAGGCTACATTACTAAACAGAGAGAGAAGAGTATTCATTTCTTTGACTTTCAGCGAACAACAGATGCTGGAGAAGTGCTGCTGTCTCTCCTTTATTCAGTAATGATGTGTCTCTGCTTTACCTTCTGTGACTTTATCGTCTCGACCACCACCATCACAGATGGAAACAGCAACTGGAACTAAACAAACACAAACCAAGTCAGTATTAGATTTTAGTCAAGAAGAAAATCTTCATGTGTTTTTTAGTCTTTACCTGATCAAGCTTGTAGTTAACATGGGATATCGTCAGATGTGGATCTCCGAGGAACTGAAACAAACAAGAGAGTGAAATGAGCCTCGTCTCACACGCGGTGCTGTTCTTGGCTCTTTCCTGACTTTACCTCCTGTTCGAGGTCCAGCAGGGCCTGCCTGTAGGGCTGCAGCATGGAGTCCAGCCCCGTGCAGAAAGCCCGCAGGTAAATCCCATGAAGCCCGGTCTGGCTGGGCTGGCTGCTGTGATGCTCCTGCACAGCAGGGACGTATTACTGAACAATGAGACTGTGTCTAAGACGCAGTCAAAGAGAAAAAAATCATCACGTATAAATGTTTTAGGACTCACTTGTGGATGAACATGTCCCGTGTGTTGTTCTATAAACTCTGTAAAGCGTATATAATCTGAGCCCAGTTTACAGAGTCTGTTGAGGACACTGGTCTCACTGGGGTGAAGGAAGGGCAGGTCCTGGGACACCTGAAGGTGACGTAAAAACAAGTTATGTGTGCCTAAGAAATGCAGAAAAGTTAGAATGATGGATTACACCAACGCGCCTCCTCCTCTGACTTCAGTCACTATTAACACTGTAAAATGCAACAGTTTCCTCCAGACGAGGCTAAATCAGTAAATCGCTTCTCCTTTGTCCTTTAAATGACTTTATATGTAACATATGTTTGGCAGAAGTTCATGTTTGGTCAGACAACACGCTGCTGCCTCTCGAAATAAAGTTGAATCAGAATCAGAGAAACTTTATCTATTGCAGGGCGTTGTCATAGTAACAGACAACAAAGCAATCTTAAAAATAAAGTGTTGATAAAGAGATAAATATATAAACATTAAACATAAAATATAACACTGATACTTCATTTTATGTATGTCTCTTGCTAGTTGTGACGTGTGATGCATTTTCATGGTGTGTTTTACTGTTACCATCATTCCTGCTGCTCTGAGCTTGTAGTTCCCATGGGTTGCCTGTGCATACATTATACATTCTCTGACCATATTTCAGATAAGTGTGCACTACCCCAACATTACATATGAACAATGACAAATAAGCAAAATCGATGTACTTCTTTTTAGCAGAACTGAGCCATGACATCATTACTTGCACTATTTTAACCATTTCACATGTCTGCAGTGAAAACGTTCAGTTGTTGTGACTCAGCACACTGTATGTGCACAGGTCTTACATGTGCAGTGAAGATGACATCATGACATAATCTGCAACTGGTGCGTCGTTCCCGTTTCCTGAAGTGGCTGAAAGTGTTCACTACAGTGTTGCTAGTATTTGATTATTTACTAGATGCTGTGTTTTTGTAATGAGGGCAGCAGAATGCTGCACAGCCTGGCACCGTTACATCAGACCTGTGTGCAGTTTGCATGATGTTTGCATGCATTCCCAATACAGTCAGGCACACATGCAGCTTGGCTGAACGCTGTGACTGGGGGCAGTTGCCTCCCTGTGTTACCCCTAATGATTATCTTTGAAACTTGTCTAATAAATGAATTATACACTGAATATTTCAGCCACAACTCACTACCTGGGTTTTTCTTATCAGAGACCTCAGGTACTCTGATAATATGGATCTATATATGAATCTCCAAAAGCTGATTCTGTTCATCTGGACGTTTTCAGTGGGAGAAACGTTTCATCATCATCCAGGTGACGTCTTCAGTCTCAGCTGACTGCAGGTTTCAATCTTATAAACAGTACATTTGCATAATGACTGAAACCAGCCCACTGAAGGAAACGCGGTTATCCTAATTGGGCTTTTATCAAGTCAGCAAAGATGCAGAGAAGAGAAGATCAGACACCAGCGAGGGAGGATAAGAAAGACAGACGCAACAACATCCCCTATGTAGCCGGTGCATCAGAGAAACTCAGGAGAGTTTTCTCCAAGCACGACATCCCAGATTACTTCAGACCCAGCAACACACTCAGACAGAAACTGCTTCACCCGAAAGACAAAACTCCTAAACATAAATTTAATAATGTAGTGTATGATGCCAGACCTCTACATTGGAGAGACCGAACAGCCACTTCATAAATGCATGGCACAACATAGAGGAGCCACCTCCACGGGACAAGACTCAGCTGTTCATCTGCATCTGAAGGTCAAAGGTCACTCTTTCGAGGCCGCCAATGTTCATATTTTGGACAGAGAGGACAGATGGTTTGAAAGAGGAGTGAAAGAAGCCATTTAGGTCCACTGTGAGCGACCATCTTTGAGCAAAGGCAGGGTTTACGACACCAACTGTCTGCCATCTATAATCCAGTTTTGAGATCTTTCCCAGACACCTTAACGCCCACTCACATCCTGGGCCAGCTGACCTCAGGAAATCACATGACAGGGTGGGGCCAGGTTTCACAATGAGCTCACCCAAAACCCTGGCTGATTGTGACCTTGGCTCGTGTGATTAGGTAGAGGATCACCAGGGGGTCCTTTGTCCCTCTCGGAGGAAACTCCCACAGGGCTTAAATCTGGGACTCTCCACCAGTTGACCCTAGAACTGAAGAAGCTTTTCTGATGAGAGGTGAAACGTCTTCAAGCAACTTAAAGAAGTCCAGACGCTTTTCTTTTCAAGCTCCTTAGACTACGATGACCTGGATGACTGAGGACCTTCACAGACATTCAGCAGGTCCTCTTGAATATGTTTACACGCCAAAATGCATCGATTTGCAGTAATATGATTGGCTGATACTTGCGTAAACGAACAGGGGTACCTAATAAAGAGGCAGGTGAGTGACATTATTCTTGCAGTATTTAAACCTGCCAATTGTCTCGTTCAGTAACTATCCTAGCAAAAGTGTATATCCTTAATATGGTGCTACCAAAGCTAATAATTTAGCTTATGCATAATTAAATTGTAATACATTGCCAAGCTTTGACTTGTAACCACATGCATATTAGCTAACATCTGGGTGAAGTTATCGTATCAGAGAACTGCAGTGTTTCCGTGTTACCTGTAAACCGGTTCGTTTGTTCCATGTAAAAATCGTCCCCGGGTATCCGCTCAGCGCCAGTAAGAGCTCGTGAATCATGTCAATTAAACTTAAAGTGCCTGAAATTGAAAATGTAGCGGAGAGATTCCCATTCAGCCACCAAAACAAACCGCCACCGTCGGAGCCGTCGCAGATTTGTTACGTGAGCGCGAAAAGCATCACGGGAAGAGTGCTGCCAGAGCATGAGACAGTACTCCTCGGTAGTGGAAGAGTCAGGCTTGCGATGTTATTTGTTTTTAAAATCGACAAGAGCTTTTAGCAACTTCAAGCGTGCTTCGTTTGGATTTCAATGAGCTCTGTGATATACACAAGCCACCTCATGGGAATTGTAGTTTTTTTCCTGTGCACTAAGATATCGTCGCGAGTCTGGCGTCATCATTCGGCCATGTAACTAGCTGAAACGCATCGCAACGGAGAGCGCTTGGTATGTCGTAGTTACTGTATAAAATACTAACTTTATATTTCCTGTGCAAGCAACGGCAACCCCGTTACTCTCGTTTATGTCTCTGTTTTTGCTGTTAGCGTGTCTTCTTCTGTAGCTAATGTTATTCCACTAGCCGTTTGTCCTGACGTTAGTTCGTGGAGTCGGTTTGTTGGGTCCACTCTGGTATATTTACTAGTTGACACAACAAACGTTAGGCTGCTTTCGGGCAAGTCAGCAGGAAAACACCAGCGGTTTAAAACTAGTAGGGCCACCGCCATTTTACGTCATCTTGTTGAGTTTAAGTGGTGTGATTCACGCTAGCACTGCTAACCGCTAACAATTAAATAAGCTGCTGCTAGTTTTCTGTTGTTCTTCTAACCGTAAAACCGTGTCTGAATGCAGGGATGGCGGGGGAGAGTGGCGGAGAGGACGTGGTTGCAGAGTACCTGGGCCAGAATCCGCAGCTGGCCCAATGGGTGGAAACATTCAGAAGCTACTGTGAAAGCAACAAGCAGTGGGTCGCTCGGAGAGAGTTCATCCTTAGGAACATGGAGGCTTTCCCGACAGTGAAGCCAGGAGTCTCCAGCAGCAGCCTGGACAGGCTGCTCTCTTTGTCCATGGTCTGGGCTAATCACGTTTTCCTGGGCTGCAGGTAGGACACGCTGATGAAGCATAATGACAAAGCTGTGGATGCTCTCCGCTAAAATAAAGAGTTCATTGTTACCTTTTAAATCCCTCAGCTATCCACAGGCTATAATGGACAAGATCAAAGAGATGGGAGAAGGGATAAAAGTCCAAGATCCTCCTGTTCACAAAACAACAAAAGATGAATTCACGGCCAGAGGAAAGAGGAGCGCATCAGCTGGTAAGCAGTGCACATGTTTAACATTTCATCTTCACAGGTTAACTACCTGTTATTTAATGGGGTCCAGGTTTTTCTGCTGCTGCTTGGTAACGACAGAAAATCATAATTAATTGATTTCGGCTACTCATTAATGCAAGACACAATCATGCATTTGTTGCACTTAGAAGGCAGCTGTTAATGATCCTCCTGAAAGGTTGCCTTTTGTAACCTTGGTATAATATTTACTTCCTGTTGACCACAGGCTCCATCCATCCTCAGGGATCGAGCTGAGTTTTGGCCAAATTTGACCCCTGTAGAGAAATGGGGACACTCGATGTATAACACCAGACAAAACAAATGAATGCAGAAGAATATTTGTTTTATGCAGATTACCTAATCATTAGGAGCCCAAATTATAATTGAAATATAATGCAAATAATTGCAAAGCTGAGTGTTTGGCCTGCAGTCTCATACTTCTACCTTCTGTGGAATATTCAGGGTGATACATACATAGAAAACCAATGGTGACATTAACACACCTGTACAGACGATGTCATCAAAAACAGCTGCAAAGATAATATTCTACAGCCATGTTGATTTGGTTGTAGTTGTGTATATTATTTAAAAGCCCCGTTAACAATGCTTAAATTATTGTGCATTGTGATTGCATTGGATTCAAATACTATTAGTGACTTCACGCTCTGAATTTTCACTGGAACATCGCCGCAGGTCAGATTCCCAACTCAGAAAGTCGGAGCAGCCCAACCAAGCCTGACTCAACAATCCATGATGGCGGCTGTGAATGCAAACAGCAGTAAATCTGTAATACTTTAAATCTGGACTGTGACTGTTGTTTGTTTGTGGCCGCACACAGAGCAGGGAGCAGCATCTACCACAAACGGGCTGCAGGGTGTTTAAGTGCAAAAAACAAACACTGCTTGCTAATAATGCATAAACCTATCAAGCGTGCTAAGAAGCAAAAGAGATCCTGTCACACGGACGTGTGACCACGGACATGTATGAACACAGAGTAACATTTACGTTAGTTTCATTCCCCATGATAACAGCTTAAGGTTACCTTGGACGTCCTTTACAAGTGATGTGACTTCAATATAAGAATAGATTTGACAGTTTTCTGTAGCTTGTTACAACAAATCCATTCACTGCTGTTCTCTGTTGCTGTGAGGTTTCAGTGTGTTTTCTCCACACCCACACCTGAGGCTCCGTTTCCTCATTAAATGCAGATCGCTGTGCACTGAACGTTTTCCTGCCTGCTGTGTCGTCTTTTGCAGAGCTTGAGGATGACAGCTGCGTGAAAAGAGCCAAGGCCGGGCCTAATGAGCTCGACAGCAGACCTGCGCTCAGGACGGCGGCGCGGCCTGCGAGTCAGAAGCTGGGACCACCTCCACAGGCTCCAGCAGAGCACCAGCCCTTCTTCAACCGCCTGTACAAGGCTGTGGCGTGGAAGCTGGTGTCGGCCGGGGGCTTTGGGCCCAACTTGGACCATTTTGAAATCCTTCGCAGCTGCGTGGAGTCGTGCAAGCAAACCCTGACGTGCGTGTTTGTGCCGCTTAAGGACATCACGGGCCTCCCCGCAGGACGCACACAGAAGGAAGGCCACGTGTGTGAAATTCGCTGTCAGACTGTTTTCATGGGCACAGGATACGGGCGCGACGAGGCCGCTGCCAGAGCCATGGCTTCCAAAGAAGCCCTTAAAGTATTTCAGGGGCGGAAAGTCACTGTAAAGATCTGTCGGCGGAGGTACAAAGGGAAAGACGTGGATGATCTGATGCTGTTGGACGAACAGCCCCGCAGTCAGGGCTTTCCTCCTGCTCTCAGCTACCCTTTTCAGGACGAGCAGCTGGAAGACGGTTCATCGTAGAAGCTTTGACTGGGCGGAGCTACTGAAGGCGTTCGCGCTTGTGTCGGGACCAGACTGTTATGCAGCTGACCATCGTAGCTAATCCCAGAGAATATTAGGTAACTTGGAGCATTAACTGTCATGGTGCATTTCACACAATACCTTCATTTCTAAATAATCTTACCTGGTACCTGATATTTTCAGCCATTATCTGAGTTGTAAAGACAGCAAACAGCGAACCAAAGTGTGTGGAGTGGGCGCCCGTGGCACTGGTTAAAAGCAGCCACCAATGAGCAAAACTGCAATATTACACCGTTTGTGACTGTAAGCAGTTTTGGCCAGTAGCTCGTCCCCACTTCCTGTGTCGCAGCTTTTTATCTGCTGATTTCATGACTGTAACACAGAAGTACATGAGGTGTTATTTGATTGGTAGGGATCGAGTTGTTGTTTTTTAGGTTCCAACTCACAAGCAAAGTGAGTCACACGGTCTCAACAATAACAGCTTCAATAACCTGTCAGGGTAACGATTCTCTTCTAAACATGATGTTCCTTACTGAGAATATTAAAAAACATCAGACTGTGGCGCACCAGTCCACATTTAGTTCACTTTTTTCTTGTTTCAGTGATAAATGTCAGTCTTTTCCTTTAATTGTACTCGTGAAGGCTTGCAATGACATTGTTATTCTGTCGTGAGCTGCACTTAAAGAGGGGGACCGCTCATGCTCATTCCCATCTCTGTAACATAATTCACAATCATTCTCCCTTGTTTTCAGCCCCTCCCCCTGTCTGAAACCAGCTGATTCAGCTCCTTTCCCTCTCAGTCAGCTGTATTCTAATTGGCTGCCTGTCATGAACAGCAGTATGATCGGTGTGCTGTGAGCCACGCCTGCTCTCGCTGATGTCATACAGAGCCAAGAGGAGAAAAACTGGCAGCTTTTGGCTCACACGGTGTTACTTGCACATTCCCTGGTTTTTCTAAACACTGGTTTTATTGTTAATATGAGCGTCGCCCACTGTAACAGTATATGTGATATCATATTAGGAGAGCAGGGCTGCACCTTATTGAATTGATCACATTATTCTTAATTTTTTTGATTAGCTTGGAGAAACTGTGCGTTGATTATGTCTTAGCTGAGATAAACTTCTGAAATCCTGGTTACAGTCATGGTTACTGGTGTCCAGTTCTTCATGGAACTGGCATCCCAGGCTAAAGTGATTTAAAAACATGTCCACACAGACTTAACTAAAGATTGTTTTGTTTTGTTTTTTTATTAATATTCAGACAGAAACTGAGGGAGACTGCCAACTACAGTACCTGTTTGACTGTAAATGCTACTGCTTTTCTTTGATATTATTATTAATAAGTTGAAATAAGATAATAAGAGAAAGTTTGAAGTATTTGGTTGTTAATATGAAGAATGTGCGTTTGGACACGCATGTGTGTTTCTGATGTGTTTGAGGGTAACGTGCCGCCGTAACGTGTTTGTTTCTTTCTTGCAGTCTCGGTTGAAATTGAACAGGGTTGCGTTAAATTGTGAGTATCTGTACTGTTCCATGTACGTTTACACCAGTGCTCCTGTTTCTATATAATTTTTAAATAAACCAAATTAAAACTAAGCTAAGTGTGTTTTGTGTGAGCGCCAGAGCTCGAGGGGCGATCGTTACGCTCTCTTAAACCTAATGATCTCATTTCACTTTGAGGATTTCTGAACAGAAATCTGGACTCCACGAGCGACTCGGGTCACGTATTTCCTCTCGTTAACGTTAATTAGCTCAAGTTCATCCACAGCTGCACTTCCTGACTCAGTGGCTCATTAGAGATCGTAAAGCGATCGCGGCTGAGGAGCCGTCAGTGATTTGAGTGACATTCATGCTCCACCTCCTCCCACAGCTGAAATTAACTTATTGTTTATATAAGCAGGCTTCAGGCCTGTTCGACACAGCTGAGTGGACTGCATTCACATGACTGGGCTCTTATTTATTTTCCACTGGACACAGGCCACGATCCGCTCGGGTTTATGGTCGAAACAGGAAAATGATCAGTGGAAAATGGGCGCGTCACATTTGCACGGCCTATTCAAAAAGGTCCTAAATATTTGTTTCTGTATAAACATAAAAAACCAAATACAAAAATGCACATTACTGGATTCAAAAGTGCATCAATGAATTTTCTGTACAACTTTAATTTGGTTCATTTTACAGTCGGTCCCAGGATTCACCACTAGAGGGCAGCAGTGTTTGAACTATTTCTGACTCCACGTGTGTCGTTCATGCATTGAAACACGTTTACATTACTGTCAGTTTAAGAATAGTGTCCAACAGGAAGGGTCATTAAACTTGTTAAAAATATTTAACCTCCTAAGACTCTTTCATGACATTTTTAATTTCTCTTTGCTATTTGGGCTGATTGGGACCTGATGAATGTACAAATAATGGATTGGATTTATATAGCACTTTTCAAGGCACCCAAAGCGCTTTACAATGCCACTATTCATTCACTCTCACATTCACACACTGGTGGAGGCAGCTACGGTTGTAGCCACAGTCTGCCTGGGGCAGACTGACAGAAGCGAGGCTGCCATATCGTGCCATTGGCCCCTCTGGCCAACACCAGTAGGCGGTAGGTGAAGTGTCTTGCCCAAGGACACAACGACCAGGATAGAGAGCCCGGGGATCAAACC